TGGTACATTGTTTTTAGTTTTTTTTTTTTTTGGGGGGGGGAGGGGGAAAGATGCCCATGGGAACAAATATTTGAAAATAAACTAGGATTTTAGTTGTCCATCTCCTCTTCTGACCATAATTTTAAAAGGAAGAAAACAGGAATAAGGGTCTGCAGAGATCCTTTGCAATTGCAAAGGAGTTTTTAAATTTTCAAAATAGAAAAATTGATATTTTTCATAATTATATTGGGAAATAAAAATCATATTTTAATTTTGAGATGTGAAGCTTCTCATAAACTCTTTAGGAAGCCCTTTTGCTTTGACCAGATATGACCAGGATGTCTAGATAAACTATGGATTTGTTGCAAAGAGCTAAATGCTAAAGACTGTAACATATTGCTTGAATCAGCACATTCCTCCTTGAAATCCAGTGCTCAGAACTTTCATAATTTAATAATGTAAATGTTAGTGTTCCTCATTAAGTAAGACCTGTGCACTGACTCAAGTTTTCTCATGCTTTCCAGTATCAGTATTCCCTCCTGTTTCTTTCTGGCCTAAACCACACATTTAGCATTTAGGCACAGAACAGTGCAGCTGGAAGTCTTGCCTGGTTCCATAATGACAAGTTGTTGTAGTCCTTTGCTTTCAAAGTTTACCTTTTCTCAAGAATATTGGCACTGATAGAAGGAGGATGTTATACTGCCAAAAAACCCAAACCATTACCTATTGTGAAATATTTTAACAAACTTCATTTAGTCACCATCACCTGAGAGGAGGGCGTAATATTCTGACTTCATTTTGTTTTCAACTGATTACAGACGGACATAACTTTCCCCTGCAGGGACTGACCTTGTACCAGTGACATCAATGGAAACATTGCCATTGATGTTATTGGGAATTGGATCAGATGCACAGTTTGCACCAGTCATGTGATAGCTGTAGGTAACAATATTTTTCTTATCACATTTAGTACTTTTAAGAGTAAAGTACATGTTAAGATTTCAGTTGTTTCTTACAATGGATGTGGTGAGCCAGTATTGAAATATGATGATCAATAATTTTGTTCCTTTGAGAAAGTCTAGTCAGTGATTTTTTCTGAACTTAATTGGACTAGAAGAAAGCAATCTAGCAGAGCTGATAGCAATCAATGCAGTTAAAAATGAAACTGCATAAAAATGGCTGAATACATTTATGTAAATAGCTGTTTTTTCACAGTCACAATCTTCAAATGGCATGATGCTAGACTTAATAGCTATGTACTTTGACAAAACAGTTCAAGCAGCAAACCAAAAAATGCCTTTTTTTGACATGTGAGCTTTGAACAAATCATTGAAATGGTTTCTGAACTAAAGCAAGACCTATTTTTGCATCAAGTTTCAGAGCAACATCTGGAATCCAGTTCAACATGAACTGCCTAATGCCTGCAGGTACTGAAAAAAAGTTATGCCAGACTTCAGTGCTGGAACCCAAGTGCTCTCCCATAACTGTTAAGAATATTTCAGTCTGATGCATTGATATTATTAATTTAATTTTCTTTAAGGATCTTGATTGTTTTTTCAGCCAAGCACTTCTGTTGTCAGTATCAAGGTACTAAATCCTTTCATTTTTACATCACCACATGCCCATTCCTCCTTTTGCCTCTGGGTAATTATATTGCAATTCTTACTTTCCCACAAGACTATACTGGTATGTAAATATGAAATATTCTCTGTTACTAGTAAAAAAATGCATTCAAATTCAGCTCAGTTTTCTGTCCTGTTTTTTGCCTTGTTCTATTTGCATTGATAAGACTAACTGAATGAGTGATCCAATTGCCCACACTACTTGGCCACTTGTTTGAGTTGCACACTAGAAAGTTCTAAGATGGTATTTTTCAGGTGAGTGCAACTATAGTTTTTGTTGCTTTCCAGGAAAGATTTGGAAATAAAAAAATAAAATTAATCACTAATTTATGCTGAAATAACTTTTTTAAGAAATAATTTTTATCACTTTATAAACATAAAAGGCTAATTTCTCCTTTCATCTTAAAATCTCTTCACTGCATTGGGAAGGTTCTGTACTTTGGATAACAATGACAACCCATTATTTGATGGAGGGGAAGTTGAAAACATTAAGACTTTCAAAAATTTTATCTATTTGCTGCCATTCTGTTTTTTATCATTGTCTACTTGAAAATAATAACTTTTGGGAGAAGGGGAAGAATCGCATTTCCGTCCTTGCCTGAAAAAACTTTTGTGGACCGCTGTTCTTCAAGTATCAGAAAAGCCTTGATATGAAAAGGATGCTTAATTTTTTACTGTCCAAAATTAATTTACTAGTATTTTTTAGCCACTCTTCTGGTTTTGGTGCTGACTGGTGCAAGGTGCAGGTATGCTCAGGTATTTGTGCTCATTTTAAGAATGGTTTCACAGTGGAAAAAAGGAGCTACATTAATAGCATTTCTGTTGGGAAGATTGAGAACAATTAGAGAACATACAGATTAAACTCTACTCTTAAAACTGAATGAACAAATTCTCCCCAATGGAAGGTGAAAAATGAGTTTTATTATTATTTTCATAGTTGATATATATACTACTATTTTTCTGAAGCAAATTTTTCATAATTCATCATTTATGAGTCTGTATACTTCTGTAAGCTTTTTAAAAATAAATTATTTTACATTTTAGATTTAAGATGTTGTAACTGTATTTTAATGAAATTTTGCATTACTTCGACTATACTACTTTTGCCAAATGCACTGTTGAACATTTACAAGCATAATATCATCCTAACAAAATTATACTTCTCAAAGAAATTAATAAAGTACATTTTAAGGTACATTACTTGGTTTTTAATTGCATTTGCTCATTACTGTACTGCATAAAATCATAAAATATAGAAATATATGATGGAACTTCCAGCCAGTGTGAATTACTACATTTTTACTGTACACATTTTATGAGATTTTGTTATTGTTGTTTTTTGAAACTTAGCTATTAAAGGCTTTGGTAATAACAGGGAAAATATGTTAATATCTAGATTTCCTTTAGAATACAATTTAGCTTATTTTCTGGTCATGGACAAAGAGCCATGTTCCTTATCTTGTCATATCTTAAAACTCATAAATTCAAGAGTTTGATCTTGATCAACTTAATATTATGGATATATAATGTTTCAGTGCAATAATGAATATATGTTGTCATAAGTAATAAAAGAAGAGTTTAAACGATACTTACTGTTTGTTGGAAGGCAAGATCTAGTCTGTAAGACCATTCTTTTATGTTCCTAATTCTATGATCTTAATCTTTTACACATTAACATTAAACACCTGTGATTATAAAATAAAATGCTGGAAACTATTCAGAAGAAAGCCTGAGTGAACATCTCTCTAATTCCAACAAATTTGTTTTCTGATCTTAAGTATGATTCCTATGAACATGAATGAATTTCTCAGAAAACTGGGAGCAAATATGTTAAAAAAATGTGACAAGCTGATGAATATTCTTGTTCAAGGAATATGGTTGGTTTTGGATGGTTTTTTTGTTCTTTTTTTTTTTACTTTTTTTTTACTGGCAAGAAGATAACTGGTTACTTGTAGATGTGATAACAGAATGTTTACCAGTTTTTGAGACTCTCTCTGCCATTTGATAGCGACTTCTCCATCAGAACTGTATGTAAATGAAATAACTAATTCATTAAAAATTAATATTGAAAATTTAAGCAAGTGATTAAAATTCATAGAGTTAAACTATCACCAATGCAAAATCTAATCAATGCAACTATCACCAGTTGGAACTACACAGTCCCAGTATAAAAGACTGGAAGTATCCCAAATGGAACACTAACCAAAGGAAAATGCCTTCTCTGGATGTGCAGATTCAGAGTTCTTAACTGGCTTTTGGCCCATGGTCCTTTCTCTTCCTAAACAGAATTTTTGTTTAAAAACTTTGAATTTTCATGTTAGGAACTCAGTGAAGCCCATTTGCCTTGTGCATGTAAAAGTTCCCTTGTGCAGGGCAGAGCATAAAATAGGTAGTTTAGTATCTATGAAATGACACATTGCTCTGTGCAATGTAAACAACAGATGATTGTAAGAAGATAATTGTGATCCATAGTGATGCTGTTCTTACTAGCCAGAGACAAGCATATTCATTAACCTTGAAAAAGCACTGCTAAATGACATCTTGAATTTGTCTGCCAATATGGTCTACAATTATCAAATCAATTGGCTTTACAGAAAATCAGTTCCTATTCTTCTACATGGATCTTTTCTGTTGGCACTACCTGTGCAATTTTGGTCTTGCCAAATCTTTCTTTGATGGGGGAGCTCCCTATATTTTATAAAGCCAGTATTTTCAAAAATATGGCTTGAAAACAAGGATCTCAAAATAAAGAAAACAATATTAAAAAATAAAAACTTAGTTCAATATTCAGATGTGCAATTCCTAGCATCAGTTGCTATTTTGCATAGTTAATTTCTGTATATTAAGAATGAAAACTTCATTAATGACCTGGAAAATAATGAGGTTGAATAGAAAGGATTTTCCCCTCCTAACCAGAATTGCAAACAATTACAACTGTTTCTTAGAATGATAATTTTATACTTTCATGACAGGATGTACAGCTAATTAAACCTGTTACTATACATATGCATATATTTACTACAAATTAAACTCTGCATATATTTTACATATAAACTAATTAATAGACAATGAAAGGGAATACTATTCATTGTCTCATAGCAATGGATAGCATTGCTGTTATTCAAGAAAATTAGTTATAATATCAGATAGTCATTACTGAAGTTGTGTGCTGCTATAAACATTCATCCATGAATGAACTCTTAAATGGTTTAATATATTTACTTACTCACTCTCTTGTTTAAAATCCTATTTGATGTACAATATTGAGAAGAAAATCATGAAACGTATCCTTGTTATTTTAGTCATTGTCATTGGAGAAAGTTCAGCTGGGGTAATAGAATTCTTTTATTTTGTTCTGTATGCCAATCTCAGATCAATGAGTTTATTTGAGCACTTTTGTTGGAGTATGATTTTTTTCTTCCTGATTAATCTTTGAATATCTTTTGAAAAGACATTTAACACTCATATTGAAATTTTTGACTTCCCTTGACTGCTATCAGAAACTTGACTGCCCTCCGTGGTGCTCAGTCAGCATTTTCAGATTCAGCACTTTCTGTCATTGATTGATAGAAGACACTTCTTCCCCAGTTACTGAGTCAGACACATCAGGGAGAGACAGACAGGCTGCAGGAGAAAATTTAATCAAGTAGAGGTAATTTGCAAAAGATTTTAGTATTGAAATCTACTTACGAAAAATATAAAACTTTAAAATACTCCGTAGTTGATAGCAGGTATTTAGCACATAAATTTAAATGAGACTACACCTTTTTAAGAACGATCACACAGTCTACAAAACAAAACAGGAAACCACAGGGACTGGATTTGTTGTCATTATATTAAAAATTAATTTTGGTTTTACCATATTGTAACTAAGGATGCCAACAGTGAATTTAGTACACAGTACGCATTCTTCTCCTTGTGCATGGCTTTTAATAAATGAGTTAATGAACTTCATCCAGGTCCTAGCAGAAGCATGTTTCATCAACCCAGTGGTGCAACACAAAACTGTAGGTAAGAACCTGTGATATAACTCCTGTCTCAATGTAAAGGCTGCATTTCATAGAAAAGGTGATTTCAGGGTTTGCACCTATCTCCCTGGGGAAAGGGAGAGGGAAAGAAAAGAGCCAATGATGACTGCAGCTAAATTATTAGTACCAAGCTACTATGGTTCTGCAAACACCAACCCTTAACAGATCATTGAAAAAAAGTTCTTTGAGGGAAACTCTAAATTAAATTGCATTCTAAATCTTTGCATTTAGAATCTAAATCTAAAGATTTGCATTTATCCACTATATTGGTAAGAAAATAGTATTATGCTTTCTCAGACATATGCTTGACAAAGGAAACTTCCCTGTCCTGTTTAATATGCACTATTAAATTGTATAGCCTTCTCATTTCATAGGCCAAAATATTTTCTTAGGTGTAACAATAGTGGTGGATCACATTTTTACAGTCATTGACAAACATTTCCATGACTTATCAAGGAAAGCATTGAGAGAGATCAAGAATTAAAACCAATTAATTTTTCTGTGAGAATGTGGGAAATACTGAGGTTTTTTCTAATCTAGTAATGTAAAATTCTTGAAAGCTATTTCTGTTGTTCCATTTTCTCCTTATCCAAGATCAATATGGAATTCAGAACTGCTCTGATTTTATTAATATTTCTGCTATAATACCTTGAGACCACAAGACAAGCAGTGAGTTTTTGGCAAAAAAATTGAAGTCTTGGTTGATGCTTAATTCTTTGTGGATACAGGCTTGTTGGCTATGTTTAGATTGACAAATGGCTTTAAGGTAATACTTCCACTTTTCAAATAGCTCTCAGAAGATATATGCATGTAGATCTGCCAAAGAATCTATATTTGTCTTGTTTTATGTTGGCAATACGACTCCCAATTATTTTTAAAATGTCCATTATAGCATGTTTCCAAAGGACTTTGAAATATGTTATCTATCTTCAAGGCAGTGCCTTCATAGACATGTTCAAGTTAATATTTTGGAAACTGCACAGAGAAAAGGGAAATTAACTCTTTGTGTTCTTCTAAAAATCCATATAGGACACTTACTAAGAAGAGGGTAGATGCTTGAAGTAAACTAGCAGAGAAGAGTTTGACATAGTTTTACATGACAGACAAAAATAGGTTAGGCTAAATTGCCAGATTCTTTGTCTTTCAAAGACCTAAATCTGCCAGATTCAGCATGAATGCAGAGATCTGTCATCACTAAGAACCTTTCAGGAACAGGATTTAAGATTACAGAGGGTCAGATTCTGTTGATTCTCTCTGAATTAGTCTCAGTTCTTTCCTGAGTCTATGTGAAATGCTTACTATCCATGCACATTAATGTTAATGTTCCTAGAACCTGTTCTGATTTACGTTTTCATAATCCTTCTATACCTGTAGATTATTTAGATGCAGTGAAGTATGTTCATCAGCAAGTACAGTCTTGTCACTTAGCCAAGTGTGCTACGAGGTCCTTGGGCAGCATGGTAGATTTCAGATGTAAAGTTGTTGAGAAAAAAAGGCAAGACAGAAAAACCCACACGGTAATACAAATTTACTTCTTATAAACACATTTGCATTAAAATGCACAATAAACTCAAACCACAATAGGCATAAAATGCAGCAAAATACTCAACAACAAAATCAATAAAAACAAACAAGCTAAGCAACAAAATGAGTAAACAACAATTACAGCATTTAACAAGCAGGGATAGATAGTCTGAGTTCCTAAACTTTATATTAGGCAATGATAATTTGAGTTTTTGTATTCATTCATTTTCCTGCCCCTTCCAATTTTGGGGCAGAATTGCACATTACATTAAAATTTATCTTGTGAGATAGCATGTACTACGTGGATTTTTAAAAAGAAAATAATGGATAACCTTATTTGAGTTTTTATCTTTCCAAGTAAAATCATGGACCAAAATGGACCAAAATCATGCCCATATACTTCATATAGATGGTTTCAGATGATGATTGCTCCAACTGAATCTCTTCAAACCAGCTCATTAACTGTACTGTACCTCCCCCTCCATATCAAATGAAACACCATTTTTTAATCTTTAATATTTGAAGCACAGTAAAGTGTAAGGGGTTGTATTTTCCAAATGTATGGAATCAGGATATACTGTTCATTTAGATTAAATCTGCTGATGTAAGCCTGGTCTTTCTGAGGTGCCTTAGTACTGAAAACATTCTCATCAATATTACTCACTGGTCTTGTGTCACAGCATCCTGTCTCTCCACTTCATAAAGCTATATGGTCGTGCCAGTTTCTTGACACTGTCTGCGAACAAAGCAGAAGGAAAAGGATAGATCCAAGTGCAAGAATCTTGGAGATAAATATCACACAGATATGCTTTAAGTGGCATAACAAGTTTCATATATTACTTTATCTTCATGTTTGTCATTAAATGACTTTGACATACATAAAGTAAAGATGGTATGAGTAATTTAGATTTATTATTTTTCACCTTTAGTGTCTAATTATACAAACTTGATTAGGCAGACTGGATGGGAAAATGTAGATTTATCTTTCAACTAATAAAAAATGTGATAAACTGATAAAAAAGTTCAGTGGTTGGTACCAGAATTTGCAGTAGATACTGAATGTTGTTTTCTATCTTCTGTATTTAAAAGTTTTGTTCAAAATTCAACTAAATTTATTCAATTCACATCTACCTGTTAACATATTTTCCTGGTATTGCATTAAAATAATAGTTGGAAATATTCAAACTGCATCACTTTACCTACAAGGTCTTAAGAAATTACCCATAAAAGGCCATTATCTGTGGCCTGATTATTGATCCCATTGACATGAAAGTAAAACTTACCTAAGGAGTCATTTATCAATGTGATGAGTGACACTGGTTTCCTATGACATCATGTTGTGAATGTTTCTTGTAGAAAAAACATAAACTGACATGAAAGATTTGCTTAGATACCTTTATAATAACTTTTCACTTTATCATGCACTTATTTTCAGTGAGAAATACTTGCTGTTATTTTCATGGTTCTTTGTCACAATGTTAGTCAATAGTTTTCCATTCTTGCATTTTTTCCATTTATACATTAGTTGTTTTTCTTCCTCAAATAGGGACAATGAAGATATAGAAGTTGTTACATTTCTTTGATTTTTCTTTCCAGTTCGTTATGATCCCTTTGAATTCTAAATTTAACCTTCAGAATTGTTCCAATTCTCTCCAGCTTGCTATTAGAAACAAACATTGTGTTCTCTTTCTTTGTCAAGTTTGGTAAATAACGACTGAATAAAAACAGCTTGACAATCAGTAGGAATATGGGTTGTGTGTTAACTACATTAATAGTTTATTTGGTATGTGTCTGGTATTGCATATCAAGGATGTTTCTAATTTCATATTGTTTTATGTGATAGAATCATAGACTGGTTTGTGTTGGAACTTAAATGTCTTCTAGTTCCAAACCCCTGCCCTGGGCAGGGCCATCTTCTGCTAGAGCAGATTGCTCAGAGCCCTGTCCAGCCTGACCTTGAACATTCCCAGGGATGGGGCAGCCACAGCTTCCCTAGGAAATCTTCCTTTCTCACTTTAAAGCCATTCCCCCACCTCCTATCCCAACAAGCCCCAGTAAAAAGTCTCTCTCCAGCTTTAAGTACTGGATAGCTGCCATAAGGTTCATCTGGTTCCCTCTCTGTGTCTTCCCTGTGATCATTTCAGGGCCGTTCTCGTTACTTTCTCCATCAGGTCCATGTCCTTAGCATGCTGGGGGCCACAAAACTATAAGGAAATATTCAAGATGTGCTATTATGTCAGTATCAAGATGTGTTTATGACTGCAAAGACTGAGGCAGTGAAACAATATTAAAATATTTTCAGAAGTTCAGTGGGTATTTATAATTAACTATGTATCATATCTTTGATTTACATTATTTTGTTTGAATAACAAAATAATGCTACAGTTAGCCTTAAATTATTTTTAAAAGCCTTTTTATTGCTACTTATATGCTTCTTTAAAGTAGTGAGCTGTCATAAAGCTCAGCAGCTTGTGTCTTGTCACAAATTTGATATGATTTAGGTAAAAGTTGTCATTTTAAGAGCTAAGAATGCTTTTATTCTCCTTGTGTTTCAAACTTTACCTCTAGAGCTGCAAATTTGGATTTAAAATTATTTTCATGGAGCTGACATTGTAGTTTACAGAATTTTTGTACATATTTTTCTTGTCATGTAGAAGATATCCATGTTCAGCAGCAACTAGGATCATGAGCATATAGAATAAAGTAAGATCTACCCAATAAAATCTGTAGAATGTATTAACACTGCTGTTGAGTTTAAGATTTTGGGTCTAACTTTCCCCAGGCAGATGTGTTTCAAAGAAGAATTTAAAAATAACATCTCTATTTGAAAAAAAAAGGAGGATTTACTAAGGGTTATCATAACTTCTTAATATCATAAACAATAATCAGACAACAAGTATTTTTTAAAAGGAAAACAAGTAATTTTAAAAGGTCATATTTCCTCTGAAAATAGAGTGTCTCACTCTTATAATTGTCTGTTAAGGAAAGACTGACTTGAGATATAAATTATGTGGGGCATTTACCTGTCATTTTTTCTTCCTAAATTACATGGGCAGGCTCAGTAAATAGCAACTCTTTCCTGATATATAATACAGTTCAACCAGTTACTACTTGAAACTTGCTTTTTCTTAGAGGAACTTCTAGGTTTTCTTCTAGTTAGGTCAGAAGACAGTAGATGATATTGATAAAGAGATAAAAGGACATGTCCTCTGAATTGCTAAGTCTCTTTGTTTATCATTGTTTTAGTTAGACTACAGCAATATTTAGTGAATCCAATATGAACCCATGCTTAAGCAGATGAAACATTAAGGTGCAATGTGAGAAAGTTCACTTTAAAAAAGTTTAACTTTTATGTGAGTTCAGCATGGTTATACTGAACTATATGGTAATAACATATACATATTCATTTAACATATACATATTCAGTATATGTTAGCTCAGTAGGTAAAGATGCCTCTAAAATATGGGTTCAGAAATATTTTAGGAAAAGTTAAAAACAGTCCTTTGGCTTGAGATAGTTTATCAGAACTTGAGCTAAAGGGTAGTTTTATTCTCAAAGTTGTCAGATTGTCATAATCAGACCCATTGTTTAAATATCTAAACAAAACAAACAAAATATCCATAAAAAATCTTTTGACTAGTGTCATTGTAGTGTCTCCAAAACAAATGTTTTATCTTCATGTATTTTGTCAAAAGGGAATTGCAAATATTATAGAAGGATGATTAATTAAATAATGAATGTTCAATAGTTAATATTCATTATTGATTCCAAGTTATAAAGCAAAGGTTGGTAGTAATACAGTTAATAATTATATTCTAATTAATAATTTCAACCTTGTAACATTTTAAAAATAACTAGGCAAATCATCACTAACCAACCTACATTTTAGTTATGATTCCAGGCTTCATTATATTCAGTAATAAATCTTGTGTGGCCATAAGCCTCTGCAAATTTGACCTGAGATTTCAGCTGAAGTTTTTCCAGCTTTATGCATATTTAAATATTTCATTTTAAGAATAAATTATCCTTGCATTGGATAAAATTGTAATTATCCATAATCTTTTGAAGTTAATCTAAAATCCTTAAAATAGAAATACTTTAGGTCCAATTTAAAGTAAAGCGTAGATTAATAATCTGCATTTCAAGGAAAAAAACCTGAAGTACAGCACTGTGTCTACCTCTTGTTTCAGTATATATATTTTTGGAGTGATTAATTGAGGATATATTCTTGGAAGATATGATATTTTATATGCTTTTTTATATATTTTAAACATTTCAAGTATGGTAGAAGTAGGAAAGCTTAATATGACAGTGGAACTTCCCTTTGCCATTGTAAGCTTGCCATCAGGTACCAGAGTCATCTTTTCAATTCAAAAGGGACTTTTTCTAGAGAAACACATTATCAGAAAATGATTGGCATTGGGAGGGACCTCTGAAGATATCTAATCCGAAAAAGCCAGGTTCAGCAGGTTGCACAGGGCCATGTCTAGGCAGGTTTTGAATATCTCCAGAGAAGATGACAGAACCTCACTGGACAGTCTGCTCCAGTGTTCTGTCAGCTGCAAAATCTAGAAATTTTTCCTCATATCCAGATTCCTATGTCTCAGTTTGTGCTGCTGCCTTTTGTCTGTCACTGACATGAGTCTGGTCTGATCTTCTCGACACCTACCCTTCAGTTACTTGTACATTGATAAGCTATTCTCCTTTATCCATTTCAAAAGTTTTAAAAAATTTGAGGCATTTTTGAGTACTTATAAATAGTGAAAAGAAAACCCTAATTGCAGCATTATTTGCTGATGCCTATTTTATAACTTCTACCATTACAAATCTCCATTTTTTCCCTTTCAGCTGTCATACTTCTAAACCCCCAGATTTATGTTTATTTTTGTCATAAGAATTTATGTTCTGTTGTTAGGATTAGAGTAAGGACACTCATTACACCTTAGTTTCCAGCTGCAAAAAACCCACTATAATCATCATTGTGTGCAGATCTCTCTGGTCCTCCAAGGGTTTTTCTATAATGTGGTTGAAGTACATTGCATTTAATGAATACCCTAGTCTTTCAGAGTGTCATCTAAGATGGATTTAATGCAAGTTGTAAGCTTTCATTTGGTTATTCAAATAGCTTTTTATGTTGTAGTGACATACTGCATTGAACAGTAGAATGAGACTCCTATTAAAATGGGATCATTCTGTTGCATTTCTTATGCTAGTTATCACAGTCAAAACCTGGTAAATAAGTTTAGTATATTTGCAATTTTATAACATTATTTAAAATCCCTGTTCTCTTTGGCATGTTTAAGCTTTGGAAACTCGGTGAAATAATTTTATTTCATGGAATAGTAGATATTATTGTGGAAATATACAGCACAGAATACAGTACCTTCTGTGTAGTGTATTCTTATGCATGCATCCTAGAAAGTTCTAACTTATCAATTGTGCTTGCTCTAAATATTATATTTCTATAAAGAAAAAAAAGATTCCAAATGTAATATTGCCTAAGGACACTGGAGTCATTAAGAGTTATTTTTATCATATGAAAATATTTTTTAAACTGTGGAAGTTGTACAACAGATTAAAAGGAAAAAAAAAAGAAAAAAGGCGAACAAATGCACCTAGGTATAAAGCTTTGATATGGAGTCCTCTTTAGAGAGTGCCTAACTCATACCTTAATTAATTTGTCTTATTTTAAAGTCATTTGTTCTCTCCATTTATAAGTATGTATGCCTCTGAAGACTTTGTGTAGAATTTTTCTAAATTCTTGAAAAATGCTGATGGGAAAAAATAACGTAGCATTTCTCTGATAACATAAGTCTTCTTTTCTGTACTTAAATAAATCAAGAGGCTTAAATTAAAATAACACAAGTTACAAAAGCCCATGTACTTGTTTTTGTTTTATATGGTCTG